CCTCATGAGTACAAGTCGAGGGAAGGCAAACTCGGAAAGATCGATTACACAACAAAACAACCAAGCAAGGGTAAGGCGCCCTATGATAACCACTTTAAGAGCACGCTCTTCCTCTTTTCTTTCAACAAATCTCAACTTTACGTCAGAGCCGTACCATAAAAAATACATGGGTGTAGCAGAAGGTTCAAAGAAGATGGGGGGTCGTAATTTATCACTTAACCCATTTTTAGCGTTCTTTAAATAGTTAAAGATTTGACTTGTAACTTTTACTGTAACCCTTTCGGAATAAATTTTTAAATGTGTCGCACTTTTTTCTGCTGTTTGTAGGGTTAATATCGGACATATTTTAAAATCAATAACTCAAACTTTAAATATGAAAAATGTGTTTTTTACGTTGAGTAACTAACATTAATTCGTTCGTGTACTGATAAGTCACGGGCTTCCTGGGCTCAGGTAGAGTATTGCACACAAACCGCGTTCCTTCGAGAGACTTTGTTGTGGACACCCATCTACTTACTGTTGCGTATCTTGAGTCGAACTGAACGATCCAACAGCAAAGACTGGGAGGTTTTGTAGTAAGCTAGGATCACACGAACACCTGCATAATCTCGTAGGTCCACTCACTCCGCATTACTATCTGTTACGTCACTTTGTTATCATGTGAGAACTGATTCACTACCTCTTATGTTGAGGCTTGCATGGGTGCAATGGCTAACCCGGCAATGGCCGAATAAATACTATTGCACTGGAAAAACGACCCGGGTGGAAGGGCCTTCACTTATTCTGAAATGTTGCTGTGATTTAAATGTACCCACAACACTACACGGTAAAAAGAATGTCTTGAAATCCGAGGAAATTTCTTGGATTTCAAGATTGAGTGGATAATTTCAAGATTGGCCCTTGAAATCCCAGACTTTGTCTTGAAACGCGCAGCTTCCAAGGGAATTCCTTGGAATTTTCGTCTGGTATTCAAGGATTTCCCTTGAAGTATCTAGATCGTGCTTCAAGGAAAACCCTTGAATACCAGACGAAAACTCCAAGGCTTTCCCTTGGAAGCTGCGCGTTTCAAGACAAAGTCTGGGATTTCAAGGGCCAATCTTGAAATTATCCACTCAATCTTGAAATCCAAGAAATTTCCTCGGATTCCAAGACATTCTTTTTACCGTGTAGTGGACTAGGTAGATGTACGCCAGACCACGTCTCACGTAACAGGCTTCGTTTATTTTCGTCAACAATTACCCTAGCGAGTCAACGGTAAGAGCTAGAGCAATATTGACAACATTTTGGTGAACAGGGCTCTACTTTAAAGAGTTCCCTCTTCGGAATCCGTACAAAAATGTTTTCTAAAAACGTCATTTTATAGACCTGTTGTTCCTGGTTTTTGTTAAATCCAATTTTTAAGGCCGAATGCTCTGTATGAACGATAACTCGAGAACGAATAAAGCTAACGACTTTACAGGGTCGTTTGATACCATACAAAGACAGATCAAGTTCGAGAATGAGCAGTTTTGCTCAAAAATTGGATTTAAACAAATCAAAAACGACAGGCCCCAAAAAAGGCATTTGTAGTAAAAGAAAATTTTTGCGCTTGCCTAATGGGTAACTCATCAAAGTAAAAACCTATGGCCAAAAATGAAGTCCCCTTCGCTCCATCTCATACCGTTAAAACGCTGTAGGATATTTTTTGAGTCCCGTCAAAGTGTCTAATTCCGGACCAGCAGGGTAAATCCGGACACTGCTCTTTTGCATTTCTACAGCAAACTACACAATGTAGGTTCATAATTTAGATAGATACTTTTCCGGGATGCTCTGGAGATTTAGATAATTAGTAGTTTCACATCTTAGGGCCGCCCAGAGAAGTGCAACTTGAATAATAGGACCCGACTAGTACATACACTGTGAAGCGGTACTTCAATGCGTGTGCCGCATAGCACCAATGCTAAGCCACGGTCACTAGATACAGCTTTAACGTCACTACGCTGGAGTCGAAAATTTTAAATATCCTGCGGACTTTTGCGCGTAGTATTGACTGTATGGTATTTCACTCGATCTCTCACTTGCAAATCTTAGTTAAAAATGGACTAAATTTTCAATTTCGACAAAGTCCTGTGAGGTAAAGATTGTTGTACACATTCTTCTGGCCAATTTTGAGAAACCACTGTCCTTCTACTAAAATGGCACTGACTTTTGCAAAAGTTTCTTAACTTCTGAAATGGGCCAATTTTGCCACGAAAAATTTCAATATCACTCTGGTCTCGCAGTTATGGGTTAAGTTGGTGTGTACTGGCACGCACCTGCAGTGCAGTATTGGCATATCGACGTGTTCTACTGCCATTTAATAGCATGAATAGGGACTGTCCGAAATTGCCCCGACTTCGGGTTTAAATCCGGACGGGGTTTCAGAGGCTTGTGCAGGTGAACTGGCGCAAAGAAAATTTCCTCTTCAGATGGAAAATATGTATCTTGGCGACTAGTTTCTAGAATCCGCTGGAATTTTTCATACCCCTACCGGTTCTAGAAATGTTGAGGAAAACGGTCAAATTTGTCCGGAATATGACACTTTGACGGTCATGGTTTTTACAGTGAGTCTAGCACAGGGAGTCTTTCCTCCCATGGCACTCTCGCTTCCAGATTTCAGTCTCAGTACCTCTCATAGGAAGGCCACGATCTTAGCCTTGCCAGTCAGATAATCTAAGCAAGAAAGGAGGGGAAGAGAGGGGGGGTGATAGTGCGCTTGTCGCCTCGGCCAGGGCCGGAAAAACGTCAGAGACTGGCGGTCGCATTGGTGACTAGTGGCGTATACGTCACACACTCGCGTATGGCCAAATGGCAGAGTCAGATGTAGAAGGGCAGAACTGGCTTAAATCTGGATAGCGGCAGACCTAACTACCTACTCTATGTTCCAGTTCCCGCTCGTTGTAGGTCATAAAGCAGGGCACACCGATTTCGAATAGAAATACTCTACAGAACACTTCCAGACCTCATGAGTACAAGTCGAGGGAAGGCAAACTCGGAAAGATTAGGGATTTGAAGGTCGGAAAAATTACCGGAAAAATTGGAAAAAATTTCCGGAAAAGTTGGATACTTTTCCAAGCCATAAATTTCCAGGAATAATATGGAAAAATATTTTTCTGGTGGTTTTGAATTTGCTGAGTGACATATTTGATAGTGACAATGGTACAATGTGTAACGTGGTAATTTGTGTTTTCTGAATTATAGAGCAGCGTTATATGGATGTAATCAACATTTCTTTTTTTGAAGAATGTTCAAGTCAAAGTTTTTATCAAAGCAAAATATCAAATGCCAACCTGCACCCCGCTAAATCTAGATCTTTGTGATAAAGTAATCCAAATTTCTTCTATAATTCGTGTTTTGTGAAACCTTCTATTCATCGCTTTCATGGACATTGTGATTTTTTATCGCAATCAACCATGACACAATTCAGGAAGCATTACTGTTTTTCTCTAGATCCGATTTGTTCGACTCGTATGTGAGGGAAAATGACTTGACCGTACTTGAAAAAACCTTTCCTGTTTCAGAAAATAACATTGCGCTCTGTAGTGTTGTAATTTCCCACAGTGTTCCGAAAGATTTCGCACAGAATTTTGCGCGACACGTAGTGTGGAGCATAACCAGTACGCAGATCTAATTTGGATCACGTCACTCCCGTTATCTTGAAACTTTCGTTTCCCCGAATGACAGTGAGACTGCAACTCTGACTTCAGGATCGTTGCAACGAGTAAGTGAGGGAGGTAAAAAAATAAGTGGAATTTAACCCGCCCAGTGGAGTAGCAACTTTTCGTACCGGTCTTGTAAACTTGATTTGATGACCCAGTGGGCATGCATTGCCTATATGAAGGCCCAACGGATGGGTGTATTTTCGTACCCAAACTTGCTCTCGTACCCAAACCCTCTCTCGAAATTTGCACAGTGGGCATGTGATTCTCCTCTACCTGGTCGGCCCACGAGTTGTAAATTCACGCACTCACACATGGGAATTTCCACCGACAGCTTGGTAAATTTACCACCTGTGGGCAAGTAGAGGGGACGTTGCATGCCGACGCCAGGAAAAAAAACTTGTAATTTTTCTTGATTCTACTATTAAAATGATGACACGAGGTTCTGCACATTCAAAAAGAAACGGGGAGTTTACTAGACAGTAGATATTAGTCAGGACTTGTTACTTTAGAGCGAAGAGGGAAGAGGTCCGCGGCTCGAACTGAGGAACAACGTGGGTTGCTCACGCTGCTCTACCCGTGAGTTCACCGTACTCTAGTGGTCAAGGATGCGGCGCAGCAACCCAGAGATCAGAGGTTCGAGTCCAGGTAACAGCAAAGGTAAAAGAATTTGATTTAATGTGAGTTAATATATGTTAAAAGTGAACGTTCAGTTGGAAGGTTGGAGACCGGAACGGGAAAATCCGGCACGGGTAATAACTTTGCCCGGGGTTTGCGTTTTTCCCCGCCCATGGGCTTGGCAACCCCATACAACAAGCCCTGGGCAGGCAGGGTGTCTTTGCTTGCCCACGGTGGTAAAATTGCATGTTGGGCATGTGGAGTCGACCTAGCTCGCCCATGGGCGGGTAACTTTCATAGCCCCGTGGGCTTGTCGATCCACACTCCCACTGGTCGGGGAATTTTGCTCACCCTGGGCTTGATGTGTGAGGTTGCCAAGCCCACGGTAGGTAAAATCGCAAGTATTTTTTTAATAGTCATCCGACTGGTTTAGATCTGTTAGAGTCAAACAAGGGAAACCATGAACGCAAAATGAATTTTGTGCTAAGTGTGTGTTGAGGGTGATAAAGGGTTTTCCGTGGCGATAAAAGGTACATTTAAAACGCCCGCCGCACGACAAAAACGGCGGCTTGGTTTCCAAGCAGGTCCCGTGTTGAGCTCCCATAAGGGTGCTTGAAAATCAAGCAGCCGTTTTTGCGGTGCGCGCGCCCACTGTGAAGTAGTTACCGTGTCCGTCCCCATGACGCCGCCATAACCTCACGTACTCCTCCGCCGTCTTGGGACTCAAAGTCTGTAAATTGTGTCTGAAGGTTCCATTAAAATGCATAAAACCCGCTTCCACACACCGACTGCCCCGAGGCAAGCGCCCAATGTCCAGCCGATGTTACATTGAGTAGATGTCATTAGATAAAGATGTGTCCGGTATACAATTTAAATGTTCGGGCGATAGGTCGCTTACACTTTGTTTAAGTATGTCAGAAATAATAAAACAATTTATTTAAGAGCAAGTCTGTTAGTCTATCACAACGGTAAGCGGGTTTGTTGTGCATCCCTATCTCTTTATCTTTTCAAATCTCCAAAATATTAGACGTAACCAAGAGAGGGGTAGTTTTATCATGCCCATCTCGGTTACACTTCGTGTCAACAAGACTGCCGTGAGAAGGGGATAGTATTGGGTGCTTGCCTCGGGGCAGCCGGTTTGTGGAAGCGGGTTTTATGCGTTTTAAAGGATTATTGAGTTGATGTCATTAGATGAAGATGTGTCCGGAATACAATTTAAATGTTCGGGT